TCGCGTAGGCTCACCACGGCGCAGTTATGGCAGGTGTCGCGATCAATTTAGCAATCCTTTGAACATGGCCGTCTCCCGGTCACAATTTCTTGACGCGTGCTTGGATTTGGTATTTTGCAAGTGCCCCCCCCCTCCCCTTCCTCACCTCGATTGTTTCCGGCTCAAAAATCGGCTTGTTGCACATGTCACCAAAGAAAAGACTCAGAGTCGAAGTATAGGGAATCACCTCACGGTTTCGAAGGCTGAGTTGCCCCGTATTTTAGAAGAGGCATCCCGTGACAACCATGAACCAGATGTTTTGCCTCTGGAGACGCCGCTTGGGCACCTTATCGATTGCTTTGCGCTGGCAATGAAAGATGGCAGCGAGGTTTGGTTTCACTATATCAATCCGATCGGCCTCATATGGGTGTTAGCGCAGGGAGTTTTTGGTTTCGTGCCTTTTCTCAGGAAGTCAATGTCGCAGCACACTCGCGATCACCTTTCCTTAATTCTGTACTCAGACGAAGCCACTGTGGAGAATATCAAAAGGCCCGATGAAGGAGGAGGGACGGAGGCAGTATACTGGACATTTCTAGAATACCCAAGCTGGTTGAGAATGCGACAGTGTGGAACTTTTCCCTTTGGATATCTTCGCGTGAACACAGTGCGCGAGATACGGGGAGATGTTAGCAATTTGATGCGCGAGATACTTCGTATGTTTTTTCGCCCGTGCAATGGACTTTTGATCGCGGCTTCCAAGTCAGACCCGATTTCTTCATGAGGTGCAAATTTGGCTGTCATCCAAGATGAGCGGGGACAAAAAAGGCACGTGGGATGTCAAGGGGGCAGGCGGGTGGAACTGTTGTATTCATTGCAAAAACATCATCATGAATTGCAAGACAAAGCGAGACGGGGTCCGGGCGGGCGCCTGGACGCCCGGACGCCGGGAGGCCCATGGGCGCCCGTGGCGCCCGGCGCCCGGGCGCCCAGGCGGCTGGACGCCCGGGCGCCCAGCCGCCCAGACGCCCGGACGCCGCGGCCGCCCGGGCGCCCCGGACGCCCGGGCGGCCCAGGGCGCCCGGGCGCCCAGCACCCGGGGACGCCGCGGCCAGCCCGGGCGCCCGGGACGCCCGGACGCCGGGATGCCTCGGGCTTCCCAGCGCCCAGCCCCGGACCCCCCGGGGGCCGGCCGCGGGACGCCAGAGCGCCCGCGAGGGGCTGCCCCCAGCCCCGGGCCCCCGCCACCGCCCGGAGCCGCGGCCGCCGGGCGCCCCGGACGCCCGGACGCCGGGATGCCCAGACGGCGCCCAGCCGCCCGGACGCCCGGGTGCGCCTGGGCCGCCGGACGCCCAGAGCGCGCGGCGCCCGAATGCCGGGGCGGCCCAGGCGCCCGGGCGCCCAGCCGCCCGGACGCCGCGGCCGCCCGGGCGCCCCGGACGCCCGGGCGTCCAGCCGCCCAGACGCCGCGGCCGCTCGGGCGCCCCGGACGCCCGGGTGCCGGGATGCCCGGACGGCGCCCAGCCGCCCTGCCGCCTGGACGCCCGGGCCGCCGGGGCCGCCCGGACGCCCGGAGCGCCCGGCGCCCGAACGCCCAGGCCTGGGCGCCCAGCCGCCCGGACGCGCGGGCCGCCCGGGCGCCCGGACAGCGTCAGGCGGAATTGTGGTATTGTGAGCTCCCTATGGGGCCACGAAACGTGTGAGGGGTGTGCCGTAATGGGTGGTGGGGAGGCATGCGAACCCTGCCACTGGGGCCTTCGGTGGATCCCGATGGGGCCACGAAACGTGTGAGGGGTGTGCCGAACATTGGTGGTGGGGAAGCATGCGCAACCCTGCCACTGGGGCCTTCGGTGGAGCTCCCTATGGGGCCACGAAACGTGTGAGGGGTGTGCCGAAATGGGTGGTGGGGAGGCATGCGAACGCAGCCACTGGGGCCTTCGGTGGAGCTCCCTATGGGGCCACGAAACGTGTGAGGGGTGTGCCGAAATGGGTGGTGGGGAGGCATGCGAACCCTGCCACTGGGGCCTTCGGTGGAGCTCCCTATGGGGCCACGAAACGTGTGAGGGGTGTGCCGAAATGGGTGGTGGGGAGGCATGCGAACCCTGCCACTGGGGCCTTCGGTGGAGCTCCCTATGGGGCCACGAAACGTGTGAGGGGTGTGCCGAGATGGGTGGTGGGGAGGCATGCGAACCCTGCCACTGGGGCCTTCGGTGGAGCTCCCTATGGGGCCACGAAACGTGTGAGGGGTATGCCGAGATGGGTGGCGGGGAGGCATGCGAACCCTGCCACTGGGGCCTTCGGTGGAGCTCCCTATGGGGCCACGAAACGTGTGAGGGGTGTGCCGAGATGGGTAGTGGGGAGGCATGCGAACCCTGCCACTGGGACCTTCGGTGGAGCTCCCTATAGGGCCACGAAACGTGTGAGGGGTGTGCCGAAATGGGTGGTGGGGAGGCATGCGAACCCTAAGAGGGAGGAGGGCGAGGAGGAGGAGGAGGAGGAGGAGGAGAGGAGGAGAGGAACGCGGGGCACCGTCTCTTCAAAACGAGGACCCAACACCACAGGATGGTTGGGAAATATTCCAAGAAGGCCTCCAAAAAGTCCCACGAGGGCCCAAAGAGGCTCATGAAGCCTGCCAGACGGCCCCAAAAATGCCCCCAAAAACGGGCCCGAAGGCGATGGACGGTCCGAGATCGACCGAGCACAACCCAAGATGGCCCCAGGAGGCCCCCAAGACGCCCCCTCGGGCCCCAACGTACCCCCAGAAGCCCCAAGAAGACTCCTCGATATGTTCTTCGCACAGCGGAGTTCGACCGGATTCCCCTGCGGTGACGACGCGGCGGACAAATGCCTCGCAATGTCCGCCAGTTGTCGCCGTTTGCGAGAGGTGTTTGCATCCGTGGGGCGCTCTGCCTGGCCTCTTCGACGCCTCCGTCCCGCTCTATAGAAATTCACGCATACCACCAGTTACCTTGCTTGAAGTAATTATTCCTGCGGGTTTTCGACAGAATGATCCCAGGCGGCCCCCGACAGCCTCGACATGGCCCCAGCAGGCCCCATAACGGCCCAACGCGGCCTCCACCTGGCCCCAGATGGAACGCCCCAAGATGGTCCCAGGACGGCCAAAAGAGGCCCCCGAGGCGCCCCCCGAGGGCTCCAAAGGACTAGCAGGAGGGCCCCTTGGAGAAACACTCGTCCCATTGCCTCGGGAAAACGCACATTGTACGTACTCGCTGTTTTCGTCTTCACAGCGCCCAGGATCGCTCCACAACGGCCACCGAGGCCCACAAGCAGGCCCCACGACGGCCAGACAAATCTTCAAGAGGACCCCAAGACAGCCCAAGAGGGCCCAAGGAGAGCCAAGAAGTTCAAGACGGCCCCAGACACGCCCCCGACACAATCTCCGAAGGCACCAGACGGCCCAAGAGCGCCCAAAGACGACCCAAGACGCCCCAAAAAACCTTAAAAGGCCCCCAAAGGCCCCCAAGGGGTCGGCGGCGCGGCGCAAGCCTTCGAATCCGCCAACCCCATCGGGGTTCATCGGCAGGACGGTCCAAGATGGCCCCAAGAGGGCCCCAGAGGCCAAAAATAGGGACCCCAACGGACCCCCAAGAGCGCCTCCAGAGGCCAAAAACAACGATTGCCCGACGTTTTCTGAATGATTCAGACGTTCTCGCAAGTTCACAGCTTCGGCCGCCCAAAACGGCCCATGCACCCTCCGGAATGACCCCCATTGCGGCCCAAGCGGACCCCCAAATAGCCCAAGAGGGCCCCAAGATTACCCAGAAAAGGCCCCAAAAATGATCCAAGAAGCCGCCCAGACGGGCCAACCCCCAAGAGAGCACCAAAGTGGCACCAAAAAAAAACCAAGACGGCGCCCTCAGGATTCAGACGGCGCCAGAGCGATTCAAGGCGGCCCAGGACGCCCCCAAGAGGCCCCAAAGAGGCCCCAAAAGGCCCCAAGAGGCCCCCAAAAGAGGTGTCCAAGAAGCCCCCAAGAGGCCCCATCGACGCGTGCAATTTCGACAAACGTGCAAAAGCGCAAAATGATACCCCAGATGGCCCACATTTGTTTGACCTCCACGGCTTCACCACATCAGCCAACAGGCGATTCCTTACAGCAAATTGCGCGACCTCGCCTCGGCGAGCGCCGCTTCGGGGAAAGGGGCTTCGCGAATTCCCCCCGGGGCGCCCACGACGGCCCCCTTCCCCTCACGGATCGACCCTCGGCTCGGCCGCCAACATCAGGGCATCCGTCGGCTGCGCATGACATAAGCCACTGCCGCATACCCTGAGAGCCACTCTCTGGCCTGCATAGACCAAGAGACTGCGCAGAACCAGGAGAAGGCCCAAGGGCGCGAGGCGACGGGATGCACAGGTCGGGGCGGACGGAGGCCGACCTCCCCCGTGCCCCGACGCTCTCGGCAGGATAGGCGGCCCCCCTGTGCAACGGTCACCGCAGGGAGGGGAATTACCTCCAGCGCCCCACGGCCGTGCAAGCAGGGGGAGGTGGACAGCACGCAGCAGTGGAAAGGACGGCCTCGGGGACCCCAGATCGAACCCGCCGCGCGAGTCCAGCGACCGCGACGCAGTGGAGACTGAGCAGCCCCCCTGCGCAGCCGTCACCGCAGGGGGGGAATAACCTCCAGCGCCCCACGGCCGCGCAAGCAGGGGGAGGTGGACACACACGCAGCAGTGAAAAGGACGGCCTCGGGGGCCCCAGATCGAACCCGCCGCGCATGTCCAGGGGGCGCGGCGGAAAGGAAACTCGCAGCGCCCGAGGGGGCGTTGAAAAAATGCACGGCCCTCCAGGAGATGCCCATTTAGGGCGTGGCCCTGCGTGATCATGGCTACCTGAAGCACTGCTGGGCATGGCCCTGTCTGATAAACGAACAGAAACAACAACGAAAATGAAGCGCAGACGGGGGCCCTGCCAGGCCACTGGAAACCCCGAGGCCTAGGACAGGGAAGACACGGTCCGATCCCGACCCCGACACCACCCCAACCTCGACCCCTTCCATTCTCGAAGCTGCCGTCTCGGAACGCACTGAGGCTGCAGCACAACTTGGACCAGCGCCAGCGGTCGCGGATGAGTCCGCGACCCCATCTGGCCCTGGCACGCAAATCTGCGAAGGGGCCGCAGTATCCCGTTGACCGCTGCCATCTTCCCGAAGGAAGTCGGGATCTGCAGCCATGTAGGCGTTGAAACCTTGCGCCAAGGAGAGGTCGCCCACTCTGACCCCTGCTAGAACGCGAGCAATGTGGACCCCCTTGCAGAGCGCGCCCGACCCTTCCTTAGCAGCGCGCGTGGGAGGAACCTCACAGCGCGAAGCCGGCCCTCGGAGTTGACCCCCCGTGGAATGGCATTTGCAACGAAGACAAATGAACAGCACAGACGAATGAGGACACTCAAACGCCACCGTCTTGTGTCATAGACTGTCTCGAGGGTCCGCATGGAGCTCAGAATCCCGGCGGCACATAGCCCACACAATGCCGGAGGACGGCCCAAGGAGGCCCCGAGGCGCCTTTCGAGGCCACGCGAAGCTTTGAAGAATTCTCCGCGCGGACTTTCCGAAATACGTTTCGCGCCTCAGAAGTACCTGACAACCCGGGGACGCAAGTGCGCCGCGCGGCAAGACGAAGGTGCAGACGCTTACAGAGCGCTCACCGCAGCCAGCCACGCCGACGACGGCGCCCTCCAAAGACGACCCAGGACGCCCCCAAGACGCCCCGAGAGGCCCCCACGAGGCCCATAGGAGGCCCCTTGAGGCCCCCTAGAGGCTCCTAAGAGACCCCCATGAGGCCTCAGAACGACTGGGCAGCACGTGGCCTGGACGCGAGAAATCCGCCGACCCCTCGGGGCTCATCGGCGCGCGGGACTCCCAAGACAGCCCACGAGGGCTCCAGGACAGCCCCAAGGGGGCCCAGAGAGGGAACCCGAACGGACATTCGAGCCTTCGACCCCAAGACGCCTCTGGCTCGCCCCAAGGAGCCCCCAACAGGCCCTCAAGGAGCCCCGAGAGGGCCACAAAGACCCCCCCAACCAGGAGGCCC